GAAATGTGTCATTATTATTTGCTCTCTGCCACCTAGCAATGTCTGGCAGGTCATAGGCACTTGAATGATTTGGTGGAGGAGAGAAAATGAGCCTGAGTGATGAAAACTTTCTCTGTGTCAGGCGCTGCCCTGCCCTCAGGAACTCAGGGACAGATACGCTGTCCTTTTCCTGTTTTAGGATCCTGTCCTGGCACTATGCTGCATTAATTCATCTTTATTTTTAAGCAAAAAATGATTTCCCCTTTCGATTAGAGAATTTTTATTCTTAATCATTATTGCCCATCTTTCTTTCCTTTTTTTTTAAAAGAAATTTTATTGGGGAACAGTGTGTTTTTCCAGGACCCACCAGCTCCAAGTCAAGCGGTTGTTTCAATCTAGTTGTGGAGGGCGCAGCTCAGTGGCCCATGTGGCAGCTCAGTGGCCCATGTGGGGATCGAACCTGCAACCTTAGTGTTATGAGCCTGTGTTCTGACCACCTGAGCTAACCGGCCACCCCTGCCCATCTTTCTTAAAATCCCTATGTCAATTTTGGAAAACATTAATTCTTTAGACAATGAGGGCACTCTTATGTTTCATAGTTGATTGGCCTTTAATTGCCAATAGTAGGGGGAAATTATAAAATTTTTAAAAATGGTTCTGATGGGAGATGATGATATTTTAAGTAGCCAAGCAGGTAGTAAGTAGCACATGGTGGGGGGTTGGATGGTGGAGATGGGGGGGGGTGGGGGTAGGGGCATGAATCCAGAGGGAGAAACACTTATTCACTTATTTACTTTTGCTATTTAAAAATGGATTTACTATTTGGGCTAGTAGATGACTCATAAAATAGCCTTGCATGTATTGTATAAAATGGAAGTGAGATCATGTCCTTTCGTTACTTAAAAACCTGTCGTGTTTATAGCTGTGCTACTCAAAACAGCAGAAAGGTGGAAATAGCCCCAATGTCTACCCGCTGATGAGTGGATAAACTTGTCACAAAAAGGAGTGAAGTACTGACACATACTACAATATGGATGAACCTCCGAAACATGATGCCAAGTGAAAGAAGCCAGTCGCGAAAGGCCACATATTGTATGATTCCATTTATGTGAAACCTTCAGAATAGGCAAATCCATAGGGACATAATGCAGACTGGTGGTTTCCAGGGGCTGGAGGGGAAGATGAAATAGGGAGTGACTGATAATGTGTCTGGGCATTTTACCTTTGAGGTGAAACTCCACTCCCCTTTGCACTGGGTGTTTGCTCTGCTTGGAAGATACTTCTCCTCAACACCCGTGTGGCTCCCTCCCTCACCTCCCTTATGGCTTTGCTCTGATGTCACCTCATAAGGAGGCCTATTCTGACCAGCTTATCGCCCGTTACACCAGCCCCAAGCATCAATCCCTTTATTCTGCTCTACTTCACTTACTGCCTTCTAACACACTATGTACTCTTACTGATTTATTCTGTTTATTGCTTTATCTCTCCTCCCCCTCCCCACAACACCACCATCAGACAGTAGCTTCACTAAGAAAAGGATATCAGTATGTTTTTGCATGCTGCGCTCAATTTGCGTTGATTTTTTTTAAAGGCAGCCACAGATCAAATAACTAGGAATTATACATTTAAACAGATTCAGTTAAGTGGATTCTAAAGGAAATGTCCATAGAAAATGAAGTATCAAATCTAATAGTAAAGTGCATTATGGCTTTTTATTCTCTGCCAATATTTATACTTCATGGAGGCATAAAAGCATTTAGGTGGAAGTTAAAACTTTCAATTCAGAAACTCCTCTCTCTCTCTATTCTCTTCTTTATCACAAGTCACTTGAGTTTTGAACCTGAAGGAGGTGTTTTGGGTTGAAAGTTATTAATTATAGAAGGTTATTTAATGATATAAAACATTTTCTACTGGGTGAAGGGGACTTATTTTGTAACAAATTCTGTTTTTTGTGTTTTCTTCATCAAGGCCGATTTGGGTTGTTACAGCTTTTACTGGGAGAGAGATGAGGAGAACCTCTTTCTGCAATTGCTTTTATTTATCAAATTTGTGCGAGGCCTTGACGGTGACTGTGGGATGTGGAAGGAACACACATATTAGTATTTAAAGTAAGACAACTGGATTTAATCACAAGGGGAGTGAAAGTCTGACAAAGAAGGGAAAAAAGGAACAGAGAAAAAAGAAAGGACAGGCATTTAGAAATAGAGCTCCGGTTGAAATATTTTTGTACATGGGCAGGAAGTTGCTTTCAGAAAGCCCGGCCGCAGACTCTTGCACACAGACTTTGCACAAGGAGATCTGTGATGAGAAAATAGCATTGTGAGCGCAAAGCTATTACATTTTGCAGATGGGCCATCTCTATTAATTTGGATCTAATTGTGGCTGGAGATCCTGCTCTCTGATGCAAAAGCAAACAAGAAATGCTACTCCCCTTCTCTCAGCGTTGGAGTTAACGCTGAAACATGTTTTTGGGTCCATCTGTTTATCTCAGCAGAAGGACATTAATTATCCTGGTACCAGAAGTTATCAGGTATCTAAGATTGAGTGCGGAATTCTAATAGGAGAGCTCTTGAGCACAAAGTTTTGGACACGGATGGGATTTCTCTGCATCAGTTACTGTTCTCTCATCGACTTGAGAGAATGCTTTATAAATCCATATTCCATTTTCCCGGCATCCACTTGGACACACCACTCATATGAATTCCATTTGAGGAAAGAAAAGCTCAAGAAACAGAGGGAAGGTGGGATTTTTTTTTGTGTGTGTGAATGTTATAATTGCAGAGAATGCAAAAATAGCGTGACCCAATATTGGCAGCTCTCGTGCTACAGAGTGCTCTGTTCATGGAGCCACAGAGGAAACGTTGCATTTCTGAGGCAGAACTGGCCAGTTCAGGGACCAGCAAAGAGTCGGGAGATAAAAAACCATATCTTGTAATAAAGAGCAGAATTTTGCTTGATGGTGAAAGAAAAATTACTTTTCTTCATTTGATGTAAGGCAAGGTGATATGAATGCTTTTCTTGACTAACTTAAGCCTTCTCAAATAATAGCATGCATTTGTGTTTTCACAGGGAGGGTTAGATGGAGGATTAGTGATGACACAAGGCAGGAGTCATCGTTTAAGATTTTTCATATGTCCTTGGACCATACATCAAGCAAAAAATATCCAAAGAAGTCAATTTCTCTTAGAGCTCTTGCAATGTACAGTGAGACCTGCCTAGGAGACTCCAAAGATTGCCCAACCCAGTGGTTCTCAACCAGGGGCAAACTGGCACGGGCATATTTGGCAATTTCTGAAAACATTTTTGGTTGCCGTAATTCAGGGGAGTAGGCATTGCTACTGTCATCGAATTAATAGAGGCCAGGGATGCTGCTAAACAACCTACCATGCACAGGACAGACCCACAACAAAAAGTGATTCAACCCAAAATGTCACTAGTGCCAAGATTGAGAAACCCTCATCCTAATACATGTCCTAAAAATAAACCCATCTGAAACATTTCCCAATTGGTGGAATTAACCAGAACAACAGTCTGACAAACAAAAACCTCATTAGTAACATTTCCTCCTTTCTCTTTCCCACCCCACAGAAAATGATTGAATGTTAGCATGACCTTTTTAAAACAACTTTGTAAGCAGTCTCCTCAAGTATGTTTCACTGCAATTTCTGCCATTCTCTAGAGCAGCGGTTCTCAACCTGTGGGTCGCGACCCCTTTGGGGATCGAACGACCCTTTCACAGGGGTCGCCGGGTACTCGTATGTGGGCGTATCTGCATGTGGGCCTGGAGACAGATAGAGGAGCGGTGTCTCGGTTCCTAAAACCATCGAAAATATGTGTTTTCCAATGGTCTTAGGAGACCCCTGTGAAAGGTTGAGAACCACTGCTCTAGAGGCTATTACATTCCCAATCAAATTATTAAAACCACCGTAATAATAAAAATTTATATCTGCATTTAGCATCTCTTGGCTAAACTTGTTGAAATGACAGGTGAGGGGGAAACATAAAAAGACCTGTTTAAAAAATCTAGCTTGTTTGATTGTTGCTCCACAGTTTATGGAGAAAGACTAGAATTTATGCTAAAGCTGTCTTTAGATGCAGGGCAATTCAGTGGCATATATAAAAATTCAAGTGCAATACAGTCATGCCTGGTTCAGTTGGCCTGAGCTTGTTGTTCTTTAATATGTTAACCAGAAGAGGAAACTCACCTTCGCTTGTGGCTTGTGCTTCCTAGTTAGGAAACTTGATGATTGTTATTGAAATATGAAGCCCAAGATCCTGTGAGAATGTTAATACAGAAAGTCCTGCCCCTGGCTTGGAGTTTTGTGCAAAGAGCATTAACGGGGTAGTTGGGAGATTTGGGCTTTTGAGACAATTGGTGCCACCACTTACCAGTGTGACCTTGGTCTTCCATTTTCTCATCTGTAAAACAGAGGCTCTGGGCTATGACCTCCAAGGTCTTTTTAAACTAAAGAAACAATAGCACAACAGTAGTACAAGCCAACCTTGAGATTTCCTCCATACCACCAAAAGTCTCTCGTTAGTCATTTTTGCCAATTTAGAGGTAGAGTGATAGCTCATAAAGTGGTGGGTTTGCTCTTTCATCCAATAGAGAAAAAAATAAATATCTGCTGTGGAAGGATTGTAAGTAATTAAGACCCTCTTTCCTTCATCAGAGAAATGAAACCAGGAAATCCATGATAGAGAACTGATTGTTTCTCCAGCATCCAAATCTATGTGTTCCTCTGTTGGGTTTGGGCATTTACATAATTGTAGGCTATTTCTGTGTTGAATTTGCCCTGGCAGACCCCCTCAGACAATAGCACCTCTATCTTAATATCTGCCTAAATATTAATGTTAATTAATTTAGAATTTTCCAAGCAAATCTGCATGCAGAATAGATTGGCGGATAGCATGATGTTTCAGCATCTAGTGTCTTCTCTGTGACAGGCTCTTGAAAGCCAAAAACAGGACAAAACGCAGGGCAAGAGTGCAGAAATCACTACATGTTTTTTCCTCCACAGGAAATCTCTCGCCGGAAGCCATGCCACAGAGCGCTCGGGCAGCTTGCAGAGAAGGATGCAACCCACGCTGGCCCCAGAGGACCCTAGGGAAGGCAGGGCTTGCTTGTTTCTCAGCTAGTTTTATTCTCCTTCCCACACCCTGCCACCCAGAGTACTGGGCTATCTAAGTTATTCCTTCTACAGTGGCTTTCTGTTATTTTGGGAACAATTTTATAGTCTTTGTCTTGCCTTTTCCTCTCTTCTGGGGCTTGGATTTAGATGAGACGTAAGAGCAAAGGGCACTGAATCCCAAACCCATGTGATTTATTCATTCACTTATTCATTTTCATCTCAGCAACACTTTAGCAAGAACGAAGGTTAACAGGATGACAATAAGGAAACCACTAGTGAACTTTAAGAAGGCAAGCTACCATGGCGGCTGGAGCAGGACCATGGCTGCACAGGGAAATTTTTTTTTAAATGAGTATTGTCCATTTAGATCTATCTCTTGGGTTGTTTATCAAGGTGTGTGACTTTGAGAGTGAGGAATGGAGAAATAGTAGGAGAATAAGAGAAATCATCTTCCATTTGAGGTCTTGTGAACCAGCTCTGTTTCCTTTGCTAACTCTTGTCTAAAGTTAAAAAAAGAAAAACCCTCAATGGGGAAATATATAAATATTTACAAAGGCTTCCCCTCTATCTACAGGACCCTTGTGCAAGATACATCATCTTGCAGCCTTGCAGTGTGGTTGTACTTGAAATAAATGGTGCAAGAGGCTTTTTGTTGTTGTTGTTTGGTTGGTTTTTTCCTCCTTAATGGAAGTATGACCTGCTTGCAAAGCCTGTGAGCATGCATCCTGAATTGTGGACTTCATCTGCCTTGGAAGGGAGAGACCCAATGCCACCAGGATCTGCATGTGGGGTTCCTGGGAGTCTGAGCATCTTAGTTGTGATTTTAGGGCCCTCTCAGGCTCTCCCTTAGGCTTGTTAAGTAGTGATAAATAATGTCAATTGGCATTGAGACCAGATTAATAACAGGAGGCAGCCAAAAGGTATTCTCTTTTAGCCTCACTTCCCAAAAGGGCTCATTCAGCTGCGTTGGGAGGGTGGGACGCTCTTTCTCTAAGTGGTTTTTCTATAAGTTTGAGAGGTTGTTGCTCAAGGAAAAATGGCTCCACCTGAGGAATTCTTTAAAAGCAGCTGGGAAAGAACCCGCCACCCATGCCTCTCCTCAGCTGGTTCCAGTTTCTGGTCTTTTGGTACCTTCAGACAAGAAAAAGTCAAACAGTGTAAAAGGGAGTGCATCTAACTAACACTGGGGTTGGACAGAAGCCATAAAGTCTCTTGTGTGACTGCTTCCGGCTGCAAAATCTACCTGACTGTTGCATGAAACCACAACTATCTATCACATGCTTGCAAGAAAACCCCAGAAACTTCCTGTTTTATGTGGCTCATGAGAGGGATTGCACAATACAGTACAGGTTTCCTTGCCTTTGTGCTATTTCTAAGCTAGAAGACAGAATTTATATTTTGTATTTTAAGGTATTTATGGACACTTTACATCTCTAAATGTCCCCATTAGTATGCAGACACTGTAAGACAATAGAGAGGAGGCTGTGTGATCTGGATTAGCCATTCCATGTAGGCTTTGGAGGGTTTGGGTCATCTCCAGGGCTCAGAGCACTGTAGTCTGGCAGGAGGACTTCCAAGGGGAACATGACGGACCGATGGCAAGATGGTTCTCGAAGATGGAGTGGATGGGATGGCATGGGCAGGTTGGTTTGTGAGGTTAGACGGCTTGCAGCCTCTCCTACTGAGTCCAGCGCCCCCCGAAGACTAATAGAGAGTGTGGAGGAGAAGGTGGTCTCATGTAAAGTTCACATCAGACAGCACAAGTTAGCTCACTGTATCCCCTAAGGAATAGCTGAGCCTTCTCTTCCTGTGAACTGCAATGGACACATATTCTGTGCCATTAAGGAAAAGCATCTGGTCACCCAGTGGCTGGTGGTGTCAAAGTTCTCATCACAAGGTGAACAGTTTCCTAAAGACAAAAGAGCGCTGTGGCCATAACCACAAGTCCCCAAATCGGAGTTCTCTGGGGCCTTTAGGGCCACTGGTGGCAGTCTGCACAGGGTTTGCATCAATGTACACTGAGAAGGCTGCGGTTGATGAAGGCTTTTCAGTCCCCTTGGTTAACTCAAGAAAGCAGAATGTCTCAGCCACCTGGCCTCGCCTTTCCCCCCTGCTGCTGGTCAGCTCTGAATTCCTGCCTTCTCTCAGTTGGGAGAATTGTCTCAGCACATTGTCCCTCAATTAGCATGCAAAGAGCAGCAGCCTCCTCTCCACATGCCCGGAGAAGCCTTTATTCACTATATCTGAGCACGAAACTAGAGGCTTTTGCATGGCACATATTGTATACCATCACGATGCTCCTTTTATAAGCAGCAGGGTGGAGCAAGTACAGGGTGGACTCAGGGCTGACAGTCTAGCCTGCACGATGTCGACTGGACTATTAGCACATTGCTTTTCACCCATTTTCCCATTCTTAGTTAATTAAGGGTCTTATTTTCCTAAATGAATGTTGAACTATAAAAACAATACTTGATAACTATAGGGAATTTGAACAATATAGAAAAGCACAATAAAAAAGTCCTGATGAACTCCATCCTCAGCTAGCCCAACTCATTGTAAATATTTTGATGTTCCCTTCTAGCGTTTTTTTCTCTACCTCTCCATGTTTTCATAAACACATGTGCCTCTTTTTATAAATCTAGGTCATTTTGGAGAGTCAGTTTTGTTTCCTGTCTTTTATCACGCTATGTGTTATTTTAGCCACATTACCGCCATTCTCCAATAACATGGTTACTAATGGCTATGTTCCCTGTAAGAACATGCCTCATATATTTAAAATGACTGTTGAAGGACATTTAAGAGGTCTACAATTTTTCTCCATGATAGACAGCACTGCAATGCACATCTCTGTTCACAGATTTTAGACTGTATCCCTCCCTACATATTGACCAAATGTAGGAACCTTGAAGTAAAAATTTCAAGATCAAAAGGTCTAAATGCCTTTAAGGTTGTTGATGTACATTGTCAGACTGCCCTCTGAAACAGCTATTCCAATTTACAGTCCTGAAAGATTTTCTTATATTTATTATCAAAGGATCCTCAGTACTGAGGACTGATAGTGACCATGCACTGTCTTAAGTAACAGTAAAAAGCACAGACCAGCTCCATAACTGGGATTAGAAAATCCAAGATGAAAATTGATCAGATGTGGAGCTGAGGGTGCTTCTCAGGGTGCTTCTAGAAGGAAATCACTCCTCAAGGACAATTTTGGCAGAGCTACTTGTCCTTTATCAAAGAGACCAGCAAAGATGCCCTCAGCTTGAACGCAAAACAGATATATACTTGATCCAAATTTTCCCTTATGTCCCCCAAACCCACACTGCTCTATTCAAGTCAGGGTTCTGACAGGGTAGCCAATTAGGGTTTGAGGTTTCAGTGAGGGAGGGTGCGTGTGTATGTGATTAGCTATTGCAGAAAGGAAAGCGAATGTACAGGTTGACCTTTGAGGTCATCTGGAGCACACTGTGCCGTGGGCAGCTGGAGGTGAACCAGTCCTGGTCCTCTTCTGCTTCTGGCCAGAACTGACTGTGTCATTGTCTGTTTTCCCACTGGGGTAACAATATCCATCGGCTTCTCAAAGGATACTGGGGGTGGAATTGACGTTCATTAAAGGCTTGGAAGAGAGGACTGCACAGTGTGTGCCAATGACAAGAGAGGGAAGCCCAGCATGGGCCTGGACTCCCGGTGGGTAGCTAAGGGGCCTTGGGCTGCTCATGAAACCAGGCTGGGTTAATAGCCTTCATCCTTACAGAGTTCCTGGGGCGATTGTGCAAGAGACTCATGACCTGATCACAAGACAAAAAGTGCCTGTGTTGCCGATAACACAGGATTTACACAAGTCCTGGAGCAAACAGCCGTGTTTTAAAACGCTTGGTGAAAATTGAAGCTACAAAGCATTTTATCGTCTCAGGCCATCACTGAGAGGGGCCAGCTGAAGCTACCCCGTACACATCCTTTTACAAGCACTAGGCTTTCAATGGGGCTTTGGAAACCAGCTAAACTGTGGCAGGCTTTTCGCAGCGTTTCAGCTGGTCGGCTTACAACAGTACAAATTGGCAGCGTGGCAAGAAAGAAGACTGAAATTCAACGCTCGGATTGAAAGCTCTTGAGACTCAAATGTCACCGACACTGGGGTGTGGCTTCTCCACTAATTATGTTCTGTCAAACAAGGGCTGAAAATGTCAGCCCAGGCTTGAGGCCTGGCTCCTCCCGCAGCCACGGGCCATGGCCCTGGTTGAAATGATTAAGAAGGAGTTTGAAAAGCCACTCAGTTGATTTCAAGACTTCCTGGGGACGACGTTTAAACCACAATGTTCTCTTTTTGGGGCAGAGTTAAGAGCCAATCACAATTGAGGTTTCTCAGCATGTTCTGCCCATATTTGGCTGTAATCTTGCTTCATTCAACTAAACTTACAATGTATGTACTTGAAAAGCCAGGCTCTGAGAAGTGTCTCTCTCTCTCTCTCTCTCTCTCTCTCTCTCTCTCTCTCTCTCTCCCCCCCCCTGTTATAAAAGCAGTTTTTTTCTTTATGTATTTCGGCCTGCCTGAGCTTAGAGCCTAGCTCCAAAGCAAAGAGAGGAACCAGAGTGGGAAATCTATTTTTTACTTTTATTTTTTAAAAAAATAGGCTTGAACTGTAGCTTCTGGCTTTATACTATTTACATGAAACTACATACAAACAAATTAGTTTTGTCCTGTGCAGAAATAACTGGAGGTGACTTACGGGACTATGGGGGTATTGAAGAAAGAATGCCACAAGCATTGTATTTTATCTGTGATGTGTAGGAGATCCATTTCTCAGAGATCACGGGAAATAAGTGCACCCTTTAAAGGTTCTTCTGAAGGGTTGCTTGAAAAGGTTCTTAAAGGTTGCCTCTCAAGGGTTGCTTGAAAAGGATGATCAAGTCTTGTGGAGACATATGACATAAATATGACAAACCGCATTCTACCTTTTTCAAGTGAATAGTTATTGATC